TAAAACACTTAATTTGCTTGCAAGTTTGACTCCCTCTCATTAGCACTGTCGCTAATTAAAGCAGGGTAAAAACGTAGGGATTATCTCCATTAATAAAGCTTTCTCTACCACAATTCCTATAAAGATCTGGAGTTTAACTTCATTAAACACAAGTGGTATTCATTGATCATAATTAGACAAAAAAATGGACAGGCCAGAGAAGTTGGGAAGACAAGCAGGAAAAAATTACATATTAGGGACATAAACCCAAAGTGGTTAGAATTGCAATACACCTAGTGGTGCAACCTGGACACATCTTCAGTGACTCTCCCGAGATCACTGGGTGTTTCGGGTCTTAGTCATACACCCTCACTCGGGCGACCCAGCCCGGAGTGATCAGTTCCCCGACTTGTGTCCAGGTAGCGCACTACGCCACGCCTCCCCCCTCCTCAACCAGAGCCACCGTGAAGCCTTTTCAGCTGCTTCCAAGATGTTCTTGGTTGCTCTTCGTCTCTGCAGACCGCAAATCCCTAGGAGTCCAAGGACACGGTGTAGAGATCTGCCTGCGAAGCCCCTGCAGCCCACTTCAATAGGCTCGCAGCGGGCCTTCCAGCCATTCCTCCGGCACTCAGCTACAAGTTCTGTGTATTTAGCCCTCTTCCTCTCCTGGGCTTCCTCTATTCTGTCCTCCCAAGGAACAGTTAGTTCAAGCAGCACAACCTGCCTGGTGGAAGTTGATGACAGCACCATGTCCGGGCGGAGTGACGTGGCTGCGATGTAATCCGGGAATCTCAACTGCCTCCCCAGATCGACCAAGAGCTGCCAGTCCCTTGCTGTCGTGAGCAGGCCCCCTTGGGTCTTCTTGGAGGGTTGCAGTTTCTCCCCTGCTCGAACAAAGGCAATCATGCTCCTGCTTAGAGGTTGACTCTTGCTGGTGTTGATGCCAGTGCAGATGGCATCTGCTATTGCCCGCAGGACCTGGTCATGGCGCCAGCGGTATCTGCCATCTCCCAGGGCCTTTGGGCAGCAGCTTAGGATGTGCTCAAGAGACCCTTTCCTCTGGCAGAGCTGACACGCAGGTGATTCTATCAGGCCCCAGGTGAACAGGTTAGGGGGGCTTGGGAGGACATCATACACAGCTTGGACGAGGAACCTGAAATGATGTGGCTCTGCCCTCCATACATCAGTCCAGGTGATCTTACGGCTGGAAACATGCTCCCACTTGGTCCAGGCCCCCTGCTTGCTCATGCCCACACCCTGCTGAAGCGAGCTTCTTCCACCTCTGCCCAAACCTCCTCTTGGATGAGTTTACGCCTGTCCTTCCCTGTCACTCTGCTGTAGCAGGGCTTCGGGCTGCTGCCCAGCCCTGCCCGCCCTGTGGCCACTGTACCCACCATGGTGCTGTGACGCAGCCTCGCCTCGGCTCTTTCCACTGCGTCCTTGGCACGCCACTTCCTTCCAGTGCGGACCTCTATCCCTGCTGAAGACACCTTCCCATCAGTGGAGTCTCTGTAGATAAGGACTTCTCTAGCCCGGGCAACCTTGAACTCCTCTGACACGCTGCTCATTAAGTTACATTAAGTTAAAGTGGTGCACCGGTACAACTGTACTGGCATACCACGCAGTTGATAACTTAATACGCATTCCAGTATTTAAGCTTCATTTTTATGCAGGGCTTCACACATATTTGTTGATTGATCAGACTTTTGCATTAGAATTCTAATCAACACATTTAGGTATTGATTATTAACAAAAATTTAGGTAGGTCTAATGTTTATTAATATTGTTATCGTTATTATTATTGCTGCTGAACATTACATTTACAAACCATTGAAACCAACCTGCTGAAACCAAAAAGGTATTTTTAAAGCCAATGTTTAAAAACCTTGGAAATCCTGCAAAAAAAAGTTATAATAATAAAAAAAAAAATACACTATATTGCCAAAAGTATTTGCTCACCTGCCTTGACTCACATATGAGCTTAAGTGACATCCCGTTCCTAATCCATAGGGTTCAATATGACGTCGGTCCACCCTTTGCAGCTAGAACAGCTTCAACTCTTCTGGGAAGGCTGTCCACAAGGTTTAGGAGTGTGTTTATGGGAATTTTTGACCATTCTTCCAGAAGCGCATTTGTGAGGTCGCACACTGATGTTGGACGAGAAGGCCTGGCTCTCAGTCTCCGCTCTAATTCATCCCAAAGGTGTTCTATCGGGTTGAGGTCAGGACTCTGTGCAGGCCAGTCAAGTTCATCCACACCAGACTCTGTCATCCATGTCTTTATGGACCTTGCTTTGTGCACTGGTGCACAGTCATGTTGGAAGAGGAAGGGGCCAGCTCCAAACTGTTCCCACAAAGTTGGGAGCATGGAATTGTCCAAAATGTCTTGGTATGCTGAAGCATTCAGAGTTCCTTTCACTGGAACTAAGGGGCCAAGCCCAGCTCCTGAAAAACAACCTCACACCATAATCCCCCCTCCACCAAACTTTACCCTTGGCACAATGCAGTCAGACAAGTACCGTTCTCCTGGCAACCGCCAAACCCAGACCCGTCCATCAGATTGCCAGATGGAGAAGCGCGATTCGTCACTCCAGAGAACGCGTCTCCACTGCTCTAGAGTCCAGTGGCGGCGTGCTTTACACCACCGCATCCGACGCTTTGCATTGCACTTGGTGATGTATGGCTTGGATGCAGCTGCTCGACCATGGAAACCCATTCCATGAAGCTCTCTGCGCACTGTTCTTGAGCTAATCTGAAGGCCACATGAAGTTTGGAGGTCTGTAGTGATTGACTCTGCAGAAAGTTGGCGACCTCTTCGCACTATGCGCGTCAGCATCCGCTGACCCCGCTCCGTCAGTTTACGTGGCCTACCTCTTCGTGGCTGAGTTGCTGTCGTTCCCAAACACTTCCATTTTCTTATAATACAGCTGACAGTTGACTGTGGAATATTTAGGAGCGAGGAAATTTCACGACTGGATTTGTTGCACAGGTGGCATCCTATCACAGTTCCACGCTGGAATTCACTGAGCTCCTGAGAGCGACCCATTCTTTCACAAATGTTTGTAAAAACAGTCTGCATGCCTAGGTGCTTGAATTTATACACCTGTGGCCATGGAAGTGATTGGAACACCTGATTCCAATAATTTGGATGGGTGAGCAAATACTTTTGGCAATATAGTGTATATATATATATATATATATATATATATATATATATATATATATATATATATGATTAGTCATTGAAAGATAATTGCCTTTTTGTTATTAATGTAAAAATTATGTCGATTTTTTTTTTTACAAATCTGAAGCAATATCTGCAATAAGATATTGTTTATATACTATAATCCCCAAAAGAAAACTGTCCGAATTATCTCATCTCTGCGTGGGATAAGGGACCTATCTAATTTAGCAGGTCTGGCGTTACTAAAGGATCAACTGTCGTGAGAAGAGGCGAGAGTTTTGGGTTCATGAGCAGGGAGTTGTGAGGGAGGCCCATGCACCAGCTCCCCTATAATCCTCCTCTTTCTAAGAGCCCCGCTCTGCGTTGAGCGCTTTTCTTGGCTCTCTTCTAAAGCAAAGCAGGAGGGAGAGATTTCACACTTTTCTCTGATGTCTTAAGGCCAAAAGAAGCTGAGTGTACTCACGAAATTTGGAAATGTCCTCTCGCTCCACACGCAGACGCTCTTTACAGTCAGTCTATGAGCCATAAGCATTTGGACTGAATCTGGTTCTTTCTTATGCATAATCTTAGCTTTCCAGTTTTACAATTATAAAAAAAAAGTTTTTAGATGCTTGATTTTACTTGCATTAGATTTAAGTCTTAATGAATGAGCCGATCATTCAAACCTAGGCTACCTGTGACAGACTTAATTCTCCTTTTAAGGTATATTCCCATTAATCTGTCTATCGCTGCCTGACCTAATTATTCCCTTCTCTCTGTTTCAGCTGCACCTCTCTCTCAGACCCCCCCCCCCCCTTTTTTTTCTTAACAGAAAACATTAACCTAATTACTTCCTTAGGTATTTATGTGATTTTTTTTGTTTTTGTTGTTGAAATAATTCAAACCAGGACGGATATAAAGACTTGAACACAAAACTGCGTTAGAGGCGGGTTTTGAATCCTTGGATGAACCCCCAGCTCAATCTGCAGGTTGAACTCATTATAAAAACAGCAACAATCTTAATTACTTTCATGAAAAATTGAAATTCGAATTTTTTTTTTATTAAATATGAACATAAAATAATTTCTAAATTCAGATTGTTCACATGCATAAATTAGCCTTGCTGTAGTATCCCTGAGTAAATGATTATCAAAGGTTTTTTCATCATTACTTTTACATTAAAATATATAATTTGTCACAGTTTTCTTACATTTTATTGCACAAGAAATTGTTTAAGAAACGAATTCAAAACGGCCAACATAAACTGAATGCGTATAGGTCCTAAAAGGAATAACAAATAATAAACTTAGAAATACGGGATGAATTAATAAAAAAATATATATATATATTTTTTTTTAAATAAAACAGAAAAGAAATGTTTGAAATAAAAAACGAATTTTAAAAACAAAAGACAAAACAAAATGCGATTACATTAATTCAATAATAACATTAGTAGGGCAAAGTTTTAAATATAACAGTAAAAAAGAAGAGCAAAAAAGAGTTATTCTTTATTAAGCATTGAAAATATATATATATAACCAGGTTGTTTGAGAAAACACATGTAAAAGTATTTTTTTGGTCATTTCCTTTCATTAGTATTTTCTCTTATATCTAATCATTGGTTTTGTTGGAGTTAGACCAAAATAGAAAAATATCCAAACTGAAAACGAAAACAGAAAACAAAACGAGTGGAAATAATTGAAATCTGGTGTCCTTTGAAGAAGATTGTTTAAAATATTTTATAGGATGAAGAGTGAAGAAGATACAGGATTATGAGGAAGGAGACAGAGGCGCTGAGTAAAGGTGGGGGCGTCATGACGTCACGATGAGGCGTGCAGCAGAGAGCCGGAGGAGAAAACCAAGGCTGCGCAGCTCGGAGATAACCACAGCGGCGGATACCGTGGAGCAGCGTCTACAGACCACGCTTTATTGGATTTACTGAACACCTGCATGGGACACCGTGAGGCTTTTTCTCCCCTTTGTTTCTGTCTTCTACTGGAAACCAACTGGTGAGTAGGCTAACAGAGCGACTTTTGTTTTTAGCGCAAAAGGCCCGGATGCTCATATTTGGGTTTTTACGCGTAAAATGTTGGAAATATGTTTTTGACCCCAAAACCTTATGAAACCATGTTTATTGGCGTTAAGTGGGAATAAAACACATGTTTAAAAATAATTTCATATCTGAGCTTTAAAAAAAAACAAGCAAAACTAAAAAAAAAAAAAAAAAAAGAAACGCGCTGGTCAGGGATGCCTGTCCGTTTGGACGGGCAGAGGTTCAGCAAACATAAAAGCAGCGAGCAGATTCCTGCAGATAACAAGGACTCTGTCTGCCAAAGAGAGAGTGTGTGTGTTTAGTATTAGGGCAAAAAGTAAACTGATGTTAATGGAGGTCCAAGACATGGGGGCTGACTGGATAAATTATGGAGAGACATTCAGTGGCACTCTGTTTGATGCTGAGCTGCGGCTCAGTAAATATTTTCTTTTTCTTCTTTTTTTACTCTGTAGTTTGTTTGCTCCCTTTTCTGTCCAGTCCTATTTAATATATTTTAGGAGGAATTTTGGTACTGAAATGAGGGCGTAAAACGAGATCATTAAAAGCTGTATCTAAATCCTGCATCTTGAACTCAGAGAAATAATTGCGCAAACAGATCAATGTTAAGCTATAATAATTCGAGTGTTTCTTTTCGCTCTATATACTCATCGCCTTCTGTTTTTCAGGCATTTGGAATGGAGCTGAATCTGTCGAAGAATGTGATATCCTGTGGGGACCCAGGTATGGATCATCCTCTCCGATTTAGATCTGGTGATATTGAAAACACAGCATATATCCATCAGCACAGAAGAATTTATGTTTATGGAACAATTTACAGATTGGATTTAGTTAATCAATGCAAATGTGTATTCTCATGGTTTAACCACAGTGGGTGTTTTATAGATTTCGAGTCGGTGCTGAGAGCGGAAATACGCGTAGATATGCAAAATTGTGGTCCGGTGCAAATGAAATATAAATTCGGGCATCATTTCAACCTGCAGGAACTAATGAAACAAGCTGAGTTTTTATATAGGCCTACTTAAGAATTGTTTTGGTTTTCTGCTTTTGAGTTCATTGTACACCTTAAATTTAAGTAAGAAGGACGAGGAGAATAAATGAAAATATACTGTACATCAGGATACATTATATATATATATATATATATATATATATATATATATATATATATATATATATATATATATATATATATATATATATATATATATATATATATATATATATATATATATATATATATATATATATATATATATATAATGTATCCTGATGTACAGTATATTTTCATTTATTCTCCTCGTCCTTCTTACTTAAATTTTATAGTCTATAGGTTATAACAGTCACTTTAGTTTACTTCGGTTATAGACAAATGTTTTCCATATATTTATTCAGAAAAACATTAATAAACATTTTTGTTTAAGTTGATAGTATATTGTTTTCTGATAAAAATCTACCCTGTTTTAGTTAATTTCATCAATTTCTTTCAGGTCATTTAGGCCACTTGACTCTTGTGAAACCTGGATGTTATGGCAGAAAATAAAGCATAGATAACATAAAGCCGGACAGTAGACCAATTAAACATAATGGAAATTGCTGTGAGAAACGGTTACATTTCTTACCCGGAACAGCTTTATATGAAACAATCACATTTTCAAAGGTACAGAATTGCAAAGAGGCAAAGCGATCAGAAACAACAGGGGTCAAATCGATTTTATTTTTGTTTAAACTTGGAAATAAAAAAAATTTAAATTTATATACCTATTGAAGCTCCTAAATTTTCAGATAACGTAAAAACAAAACAAAAAAAAAATCGTGGATCTGATAAAGCTTGTTTTTAGCGTGGGTCAGAGGCAACAGCTTATTTGGAGGATCAGCGGAATCGTGCAAGAAACATTATTCAGGGTTTAATAAGATTTTATCAGATCAGATAGATAGATAGATAGATAGATAGATAGATAGATAGATAGATAGATAGATAGATAGATAGATAGATAGATAGATAGATAGATAGATAGATAGATAGATAGATAGATAGATAGATAGATAGATAGATAGATAGATAGATAGATAGATAGATAGATAGATAGATAGATAGATAGATAGATAGATAGATAGATAGATAGATAGATAGATAGATAGATAGATAGATAGATAGATAGATAGATAGATAGATAGATAGATAGATAGATAGATAGATAGATAGATAGATAGATAGATAGATAGATAGATAGATAGATAGATAGATAGATAGATAGATAGATAGATAGATAGATAGATAGATAGATAGATAGATAGATTTTAGATTTTAGATTTTAGTTTTGGGCAAAACAAAATTCTAGGCCCGTTTTTGATCAAATTGATTTGAAATACAAAACAAAAATCTGACATCTTTGTCTTAAAGAATATAGAGCCAAATTGCCTTGGGAACCAAAGCAGCTGCTCACCTCGCTTATGCCTCAGTCCGGCCTTGGTAGGTTTGGAGATACTAACACCTTGAATGAGAACCTTGGATGTGTTTATCGGAGTTTTCAATAAAGAAATCAGTCCCTGTTGGGAGTTTTGTGCTTTGCTGATACTCGATAGAAACTAATCTTAACAAACGCTGTTTGGATTTTCTTTTTGTTAGATGTCAGAGTGCAGGTCAAACAGGCCTTGGCCCACGCAGGGTAACCATCACCAAGGCAATAATCAGCTCAGTACTTCTCCAGTTACCCTCCGTGTCCAGTTACATCTCCACTGCTGTTCTCCTTTGAATCACCTCCGCCTGCTTTGTTTTTGCCCCCCTTGTCAACTCTGCTGCAGGCGTAGACAAAAAAAAGAGACTGTACTTTTATTCCTCTTTATGTTTGCTTGGTGATTAATAACGCTTGCCCAGTTTATTTTTACATCGTGGAGAGGAGAGAGAAAAGACTGTGAGTGTTTGCGCTGCTGCTGGACCTTTAACCTGTCCTGCCGGATGGAAAAGCTTTTTAACTCATCCATCACACGCAAAAAGTGGAGGAGAAGGACGCAAGCCGGGATGGAGGATGAGTTGGGGACGTTTAGTGTATTTAGATTATCTCCATCTATCAGCCCGCAAAGGGAAGGTGGAGATCAGAAGAGCTCCATTTTGGCTGTAAATCCGATAATACTGTTTGAGATGCCTAGAAGGTCAGATTGTTTATTGGGATTTTTTTTTTTTTAGGCCACAGAGCTGTAACCTCCTTTATTAAGTCAGTGGATTAGTTATGTGGGGGATACAGCATCTCTTCTTCTTTGGGCGCAGTGATCAGCAGCGCAGTATTATTATTACAGTTATAGTATTGATAGAAAAATGAAAAATGCGCCCTAAGATCAACCCTTCCATAACAACTTAAATATAACTTTACTAATTAGTGTATCGCTTTTTTGTTTCTTGTTTCCTTGCGGTATGTTTAAGTTAATCCGACCCCTTTTTTACTGAACCAAATCCTTCTAGAAATCCATTTTACGCACTGAGTAAAAGGCTCCCGCTGTGCGTGAATAATTCATGCTTGTGTCGATAAATTAATAGCAGTGCGGTTATAACGCATTAATATAAAAACACTATCACCACCCCAAACTAATGACCCTATTTTATGTAATAAATTATAGCTCTTTTTTCTTTTCTTTTTTCTTTTTTTCTTTAATCGATTCCTTTGGCAAGTCTGCGCAGGTAGCACATATGAGCCCCTGTCAATGAAACACGCAGCATGCAGGGTGGAGGTGAGGAGCAGGAGGTAAAAAGGCAAGCGCTTGTTGAGATCTTGCGTAATTGTGCCTCGTTTGGGCCCTTCGGGGGTGTTTTCCGGTTGGACGGGGATCTTATGTCAAAAGTCTCTGTCATACAAAGGCAGAGGAAGCTGCAGACTGGCGCCGGGGACTCTCCAGGCTTAAGACGCAGGTGGATCACATGCTGGTCGATATGCAAAGAACCATAGGACTAATTATAATAGTGCGCGCATGAAGCAAAATGCTGGAACATCAGCACGTGAGAAGGAATCTGCGGAGTAGCTCAGCCATGTTTTGCATGCACGGCGCCCAGCGCAGGAACACAGACACGAATGAACAAAAATAGATACTACCTATTTCTAAAAAAAGAAAGAAAGAAAAAAGAAAACCATTTTGAGTGACTGTCCACTATTAGATATCTGCAAGCTTAGATTGTTAATTTCATCCACGTCAAAGAACACAGGCATGCATAGCTTTAACGGTAGTTAAAGCTTGTATGTCTTGAATTATTGAAAAATCTTTAATGATAGAGACATTTCTTTGCATTTCATTTTATTTTTATTTTTATTGGATATTCAATTTTTCTCCATTGCCCTGAGGCCCTGTGAGCAGAAGCTTAGATCACTTATTGTTCAGACTGGCTCTCCCTTAACTGATCAAACTGATCCACTGCACAAACTGAGAGAAATTCTGGAAAACAGATCTTTCAGTCTGCAGCTGTGCCTTGAGTGAGTCCTGCACAGTTCAAGGGCACAAACCCTCCTGCATAGAGAATATGGTTGTTTTACTGGGAAGTAAACTGTGATGCACGCAGTCATGCAAAATGCATGTGTCCAAAATCCTCCAGACAGCATGCACCTTCTGTTTCCAGCGTTGATCTAAATGTTAAATGCAAATATAAGTAAAACCATAGGGATGCATTTGATGACGTCGCCTGAATATGGTCAGAACAATAATGCATTAGCAGTATAGACATGGATTGCTATTTGCAAAACAAATTTAGCACAAAAAATTATTTGAGAAACCGGATAACTTTCACTAAACGTGTTTGGGATTAGCTACAATTTCAAAAACCTCCTGGTGAGGTATTTTATATCCAGTGTGCCTTTTAAACCATACACATCTATTTAAAGCTATTGAAGGTAGGCAGGTTATTTCCTTAATTTAGCCAATAAATTATATTTGAAAATCTTACTTTTTCAGCCTATAACTCCTACCCAAATTTAGCCAGAGATGTCAAAAGTTGATTTTAACCAGGTTAGAACATCATCAGAGAAGACTCTTAATGTCTTGTCAACTTTAACTTATATGATTTAATGTTTTTAAATGTGCACAGGTCAATTCCATATAACCTGCAGAGATAAGCAGGTCAACTACAAAGTTTAAGCACCAAAAACTAAAGAAAAAAATTACTAATGTTTATATATAAAAGTGTGTAAAAACAACATAATGTAATATAAAAATTGTATTTCATATTGCATTGAATATTGATATAAAAGTGATATATAAAAATATATAACGATTTAAAGCCAAAGGCATAAGTGAGCTGCTTTTTAAAACCTCCATGCCAGCAGGGGGCCCCAGCAGGGGGCCCCTAAGATCACTTGCCATATCCCAAAATGTAGCTTTTAAGTCAAGACATAAATCAATAGATCAGTTTGCCTACTTGAAAATCATTCTGAAGAAACTGAACTGATTTGGATAGAAATGTTGCTTAAACTGCTCCTTATGATTAGAAACAGTCCAATGAGCTTTATAAATATTGGTCCTGTCCTGTCTGTGTAGGCCCATCTCATGCACAGTGAAACTGCAAAAATTACTACTATATAAATTGCAATTTTAAACATGCGCTTTAGAAATTGGTCCCTATTTCTTGGCTATACAAAGTCGCGCTTATATGATTCACCACAAGTGTCTAATGACACAGTAGAAGCAAAACACAAATTTGTTGTGAAACAAATGGAAAACTAACTATAAAGAACAAGCTTGGGTGGTTTTGAGGATATTATATTTTAAGAATATGATATTGCTTCTATTTTCAGGCTATATATATATATATATATATATATATATATAGCCTGAAAATCGCCCCTTGGAATTCTTCTATTTATTATATATATATATATATATATATATATATATATATATATATATATATATATATATATATATATATATATATATATATATATATATATATATATATATATATATATATATATATATATATATATATATATATATATATATGGCTTTTCTTACAGAGAAAAAAGGGATACCAAAAGCACCATGCTGCTAACATTGCTTCATAATGATCTGGCTGCCCATTAAAATTGTATGAGAGGTGAAAGAAGACATGCTTTCCAAATGCTTTTAAATGCTTTTTCCCTATTCAAAGTTGAAAAACTTATTTCCTTCTATCCTCATGGCACCAGTGTAGGCACATTAAATATCTAAAAGTGGATCTTTATGTGCTTTTCTGTTTAATTACCGCATTTGGGTAGAGACGATGTAGTCAGGGGAAACAGCAACAGCCTCTGCTCCACACAACTCCAGGCTGCTTTGTGTGCATCAGCGCCAACTAAACGCATTGAGGTCAACGGTGCCATCCTTAGTAGCTTCATCCAAGTGCAGGCTTTTAGCGCTTCATTAGTCATATACTGCGAACGTAAGGGAGTAGTCAACGTTTTAGCGCGTACGTTTGGAGTTTCTTCTAAATCTGATCGTACATTAGTTAAGAGAACAAGCAGATGTCAAAACAATGTTTTATCCTCTGATCTGTAAGCAAAAAAAAAAAAAAGATATAAATGTGAGACTAATCACAGTCTTTCGGCAGTAGAGTGAGGTGTAATGAGCCATTCATCATCTCTGGCGTTGAATCAGTGCGCTGAGGGCAGCTCCTGTCAGAGCGCAGCGCTCATCATTCATACGGACAAAATAAACTCCACATCATCGTGCGCTTTTCTCTCAGGGGGAACAGTAACGGGCAGGCCTGTGGTGGTGGAGGGTAAATGTTTACTCAGCTCAGTACATATCCGAGATATTATACAAGTGCGCACGTAAGGTGTGTAGGAACGTACCCAAACATGAATAAAAGGCATTTTAACCCACACACAACACACACAAAAAAAAAGGTTTGAAAGCGTGCTTACGTTTAGAAGGCAACTGAAAAAAGAGAAGTTACAAACCGCAACAGTTGTTTAATTATTTACTATATGTATTTTGTTTCATTTATAGCGCGCCCTTTGAATACCTACCCATATAAACCATATTTCATTCCGTTTACGCGCGTAACTCCAGGGTTATAAGTGCCATCCCCATTGTGGTCACGCGTTTAAAAAGTATAAATTAAGTGCGTCTTGGATCATAATAAAAAGATTGAAATATATTAAATAATATATATTACCAATATTCTTATATGGAAGATTTGCATGTTCAGGTGAGCATTTATCTCAGTTTAACTCGCAGGACCTTAATTAGATTTAAGTTAAAGTGACGTCAGAGTGTCTTGTCCGAGTAGACGTTATCTTGTGGGTTGGACTATTCATCTTGGGGAGGTTCTGTGGAGGAGATGGGTGGATCTGTGCTGTGAGATCGGGAGCTTCCTCTCGGTCAGAGCGCACAGAAGCTTTTCCCTGCAGCGGAGGTTGCGTTTTGCAGTCATTGCAGGGGGAGAAAAAAAGGGACGAGGAAACGTTGGCCGCGCGTTTTTTTTTTCCACTTTGCATAATTCTTATGCTTTTCTGAGGGACAAAAACCCGAAACCTCTCGTGGAAATTCTCAGTCAATGGTTCGGCCGCTCATGTCGCGGTGCACATCTCCCGGCGGGTGGATCTTCGGTCACGTAGCTGCTGCAAGAGCACGACTCACCCAGTTTCTCCTTTTCACGCATCCTTCTCTTTAAGGTGGCATGAATTTGGACAGAATGTCGGAGGCCGTGAGAACCGCGCCGCCCCGTGACGTGGCCGCCGCGTTTCATTTACAGAGACCTTCTGAGGGCAGCCGGGAAACGTTAGAGAACTCAAGCAGCGAGTCCTCAGACGCAGAGCTGGCAGGTAGATGCAACCAGCTGGCTTTCAGCTATACTCTACTTCTTCTTTTGAATCCTTTCTCATGAATTCTTCAGAAACCGCTGTCTCAATGTGTGTTTGTTCATGCGTAAAATGCGCTTTGATCTGCAGCAGGAGGTTAACTTACCCTCCCTTGCTCACAAGCAGAACTGGAGAGGTTTTAGGTTTGGTGCAGTTACACCCCTTGTTTTACTTGTTTCTGGCGCTCACTGAACCAATCACTTAGCAGGATCCTGGGCTATGTCACGGAAAAATGTGCGGAACAGTCTGGCCTGCAGTCAGTAAACGTTTTAAACAAACTATAAATTCCCGGGCCTTCTCTATCAATCCAAACCTAAAGGTCTCCAATAAAATCAAAACAAAAGGCTTGTTTTTCTTCCACGTCTCTAAAGAAGAAAACGCGCATTTTTTTTCCTGATTTATTAGATGAGACACTTGATTAAATTGGAAAATATGTTTATTTTACTTTTGGATCTCTTTTTTTACACGATTACCATGTGTGACTGGCTTGCCTTTGCACGTGTGCCCCCTCTCTGTTTAACAAGAATACATGATTGCACCACGGAGATAAGAGTGGCCTGATCTTGTCGTAAAGATTTTATCAATGAGACCTAAATCAGTTGTAAATGGCAGCGATGTAAGCGAATATTTGAATATGTACCTTCCATAAACTGGTGAGGAGTTTATGAAAATATTTGCAAATTTCTCCCTTCCATTCACTCTTCCCACCCGTTAAAACCTTCTGCTGTTTTGCAAACTGCGAAACTTAATCCCTGTGAGAAAATCCAGCACTGTGACAGAACCAACACAGAGCAGAACAGCTGGATGAGCTGTATCCAAGCTGCGCCGCAGTTCTTTCATAGTTTCTGCTGTTTGTTTTATTTCCCGTAGAAAAGGAGAGGAGCGCTGAGCACAGGAGCGATGACGGAAGCGCGGATGACCCCAAGAAGAAGAAACAGCGACGGCAGCGGACCCACTTCACCAGCCAGCAGCTGCAGGAACTGGAGGCTACCTTTCAGAGGAACCGCTACCCGGACATGAGCACCAGGGAGGAGATCGCCGTGTGGACCAACCTGACCGAAGCCAGAGTGCGGGTAAGAGGCCCGTGGGGCTGTGCGTAAAAACGCACCCATGCTGACATTACGCATCGATGTATCATAATCCTCCTAGCAGTTTATACTGTTTTTTTCCACCACTGAACCAAGAGGTTATTTAATTTTTCACTCTCCTGATGTATTTGGATAAGCTTCAAATATCCTGCTTATTTTAAGGAAAATTTAGACTCAAAGGTTCATATTGGATCGTGGCACGCTTAGTAAAATTTATACTCCATTATACTCCTTCCAGGTGAGGTTATTTTGGCCTTTATGATCTTAAAAGCGTTTTTGTTCCGCTTTTTTGAAGGATTAATGTTCGTGCGAAACGTTGACGCATAAAATACGCGATTTGAGGAAGAAGCTGTTCTGTTATAGAGTAGATTTAGATTTTAAACACTCCCTGTTGTCAGTTTTCGTATTTCTAAAACCAAATTTTCCTTCAGAAGGACACTGAACGCACTACAGCCAAATATTTATGTTCACATATAATTTAAGCTTTGTGAAGACAGTGGACTCTTTAGTAATAGTGTAATAACTATATGGAGGCAAAGGATTATTTATTTTTGTCTGATAGCGTAAAGCTTTGAGTGGGCTTGACCAAATCTGCACCTTTGGAACATGTATTCAGAAACTTTGTTATATCAGAGAACAATTAACAGCGCAATGATCAGAAACCTATTATTTTCATAATTTAAATTGTTTTCACGCATATTTGAAGGGAAAAAAAGGAGGAAGAGTGAGACATGGTTATGAGCAGCGTGCGTTCAAAAGCAAACAATCCCAGTAGGTTTTCATTTACAGCAACCGGCGCCTGACAGGCAGTCCGCACGAAGATCCACAGGATCGAGTTGCATAAAAAATGCATACCAGGGTTTGAAGGGTAGAAACAGAAGGACTTTCAGGTTGAATTTTAATGTCAGTAATGCTGTTTATTTCTGACGAATCAAGGAGAAATGCAAGATATTTGTGCGCATTTGTTAAAATATACGTTTTTAAGGTGGTTATATTAGCAGATTATATAATAAAGGGTTTTTTATTTTAACTCTGTTTTAATCGTATTGCCAAAGATTTTTCTCTCTCTTTTTTTCTCTGTGAATCCATGACCTTCTTTCGGTTCTAAATCCTCCCTGATTCGTCCTTTTAGAAAGGGTTTCAGTGGTTGATTAAAAAAAAAAATCCCAAACTGCTTTCCGATTGCTGTTGCAGTCCACAGAGGCCCTCAATGTTAATTTAACATCAAAAAGTGCAAATTCGGCTTTTATTTTGCATGCATATTATATATAATAATTTTAATCAAAGTTTAACACTAATTATGTTGAGTGAGACTTTAAAAAGCACAGTAACACACTTTATTGTGTTCTTAGAGTGTCGCAACTTCAGATACAATTTTACGGCCTGTTGAAAAGCGAATGCAAACAGACATAAAGGAGCAGTTTGGAACAAAGAGATGAGCTTCCTGTTAATCCACTCTGCTCAGTTTTCTTTAGAAAACTCAGAATGTTTATTGGACATTATAAGGTTAGTTGAGAAGCTATATAAAGTTGTGTTTTTAAGTTTTTTTTTTCTTTTTAATCGCCTCCTGACAGTCCCATTTTCTGCGTTTTAAACTAATCTACTGAAATCCGAGGAGCCTAAACGCTTTATTTTATAAACTCACATTAAATTGAATACGAAGTGACTGAATTTGATGTTTCAAGCGTTTTAGACACGATCCGCTGCAGAAATTATTAAAATTAGTTGACTAACTTAAGCCTTTCATCTTATGCCTGATAAACAGATTTTGATGCTTTAGTTAAATATAGATTATTAATAAATACATATAGATATTTACTAAAACTAATCTTGAACGTCAACCTTTGTTAAGAAATTAATTTAATCTTATGTTTTTCTTTGTAAATGACTTTAAAGTCATAAAGTACTAAACGATTGAAAAAAAAAATAAGAGAAACAATTATTAATTTGAATATATTGAAATAATAAAATATTGCATTTGAATAAAAAATATATATATTTAATCTTGAAAAATATATTATTAATTATAAGATTTGTGAAAATGTATTTGCTACAGTTGAACTTCTATTTAAAGTTAACTCTTCCAATAAACAAATTCTAATAATTTTCTCGCTCGGCATTCATTCAAACGTGAATAATCTCCATTTCATTGCTTCAACCAAAGCCGCTTATCTCTGTATTCGGACCTAAACTTTCGGACCTAAACAATTTTTTTTACTTATTTATTTTTCTAAAACTTTACGAGTAGCTGATTATCATTATTTCGCATTTCATTGGACTGTGCATTTGGAACGCAGAGACATGAATTGATGTGGACTAAACTCTCTATAGGTGCATCTAAATGAGGCCTGTTTGTGTATTGCTCTGAGATTACATCTGTTGTGATTTGGCGCTATATAAATAAGCTGAGCTGTATAATGAAGATTGTTGCTGTTTGGGAGGGAGGGGGTGCTTTTTATTCCTACTATAACGCCTGTGTACCTTGCAGGTGTGGTTTAAAAACCGCCGGGCCAAGTGGAGGAAGCGGGAGCGCAACCAGCAGATGGATCTGTGCAAGAACAGCTACCTGCCGCAGTTCAGCGGCCTCATGCAGCCCTATGACGACATGTACCCTGCTTACACTTACAATAACTGGACCAACAAGGGCCTGACCCCGGCGCCGTTATCCACCAAGAACTTCACCTTCTTCAACTCAATGAGCCCGCTTACTTCCCAGTCCATGTTTTCCGCTCCTAACTCCATCTCCTCCATGAGCATGGCCTCTGGGATGGGCCACTCCGCCGTGCCCGGCATGCCGGCCCCGGGCCTCAACAACATCAGCAACCTGAATGGCATCGGTACCTCCGGTATCAACTCGGCCATGTCCTCTTCGGCGTGTCCGTATGGCCCCCCCGGCTCGCCGTATAGCGTTTACCGGGACACTTGTAACTCCAGCCTGGCCACTCTAAGACTCAAGTCCAAACAGCATCCCACGTTCGGATACAGCGGGCTGCAGAGCCCCGGCTCCAGCCTCAATGCCTGTCAGTACAACAGCTGACGGAGCCAACGGGGCCCCTAAATGTTACACAACCGCATGTTCGAAATGAATGGGCAACGGACAACTAAACTGGAACAACTTGCGATCATTTTTTCGTAAAAGAGAAAAAATGGATTTTGCGGGTTACATGTCTACCAATGAACTTGAACAGCAATTCAAACATCCAGCTTTTTGGATCTAAAAATGAAGAGGTGTCACATTGCTGAGATGTATAGATTTAAATGTAAATATATATACAGGTCTAAAATAAGTAAAAAAAATAAAATAAAAAAAAAGATTTTTTTTCCTTCTTTCTGTGCTGGCTTGTGGCTCTATTTCGAGCCTCCATTTCGTCGTTCCCCCACTTCCATTTCGTACCAATGCACTTAGACAATTTAATGATGAAGATACATGATTGTAAAAATGAAAAAAATAAAATAAAAATAAATCCCAGGCATTATTTCATTTCATAAGATGTAATTATCTCTATTTAAAAAAAAAACTTTGTACGACCTGATATTTTAAAATTGTTTTGTTTCTGAGTAGGCTTACCAGAAAAGGACCACCAGGCGGTTGCGTTTTCTATCTAAAAAGTTCAGGTAAATTAGAAAACTACTAAGAGGGCAAAAAATATAGAGAGACAAAAACCTCGTAAAAACACTGAAAAAACGATCTAGAAATAGGTACAAATTTCTTAAATTAGGTGAATTTACCCTTAATTTAAGTAGGTAAATGAGACAGTTCGCCAATGGAATGAGTATTTTTACTCTTAAAATAATATAATCAGATAATATGCACTTGAAATAAGAAAACGCAATTTTGTTTTCCTATTTTAAGTGTAAAAAAAAAAATCACTTATTTTAAGAAAAAATGACTTATCTAGATTTAGATTTTTTTTTCCAGTGAATTGATGACAAACAGTGAGTTGAAAAGAAACCTTGCGGTTCCATTTCGTACCATGGAATGTCGGTACGAAACGGCGGAGAGACGAATTGCCCAGCGCCTCTTGTAGGATTTTAAACACTAGAGGTGGGAGGATGTGAAATAAGAAAAAAAAAAAAAACAACAACACTCAAATAGTGTTAATCTGAATGGAGAAAAAAAAGAAGAAATCTGACATCTATTGTATATATTCTATATATGGCTCTGTGTGCTTTCGTGGGCTGACACCCACACTTTTTGACTCCTCAACTGCTTCTCCTTTTATTTGCTGAAATGAAAGAAAAACACAACAACAAATGTTTAACTTGACGTGCTTTGTATCATAATGTAAGACTGTGCAGAAGTTCTTTAGCCTGAATGTAAATAGAAAAAAAAGTTGATTAAAAGTTCTCATGTGCAAAATGTAACATGTTTGTTTGAATAAACCCAAAGAAAATAGATTTATTTCAAACACTTGCTCTAACTGAGTCTTTATTTAACAAGACTCGGAAGGAGGGAGGGGCAGGTTTATTTACCCCTGTTGAAATGAATTTACAGATGTTAATCTTTTCATCAAAGATAAAAAAATATATTAAATAAATATTATTAAAGGATATGATAAAATAAAATAAACAAGTATGATATGCTTAGATGTCAGGCTTATAAACACAATGTCTGTATCACTTATACCATATTTGTGTTGGCATGATATTTTTTAACAAATCCCTAAATTAAACTCACTTATGACCATAGATCTTTGAGGCATAACATGACGTCACGTCATCGTTTCCTTCCATCCAGAAGCTCAGTGGAGGCCTATTCAGTCAACACCATATCTTGTTTTCTGACACCTGCAGAAATCCTCATATCTATATTACTGCCCATTAGACTGATATTAGTCCACAGGACAAGTGCTGCAGTGATCATTGTGTGCTTAAACTGATAGGACTCTTTGCGAGATGGGATTAGGATTAATAGCATCGTTAAATATGTTCCTAATTAATAATCTGATCAATAATCTATATAAAAATTATAATTTGAAATAAATAAGAGTGTGAGGCGGACTACAAGAGCATTTTTGTTTATGCTTTTCAAATTATGAATACACACATGTATTTTTAAATGAAAATTAAATTTTATTTAACTAACAACTGAAATTTTTTTATTAATATTTAATTCTAGTTGGAAACCTTGTTGAAACGATAAGCAATACAGGTAAATTGTCGGTCTAAAAATTTGAAACAATATTTTCCTTAGAGACATTGCAAATTAATTCTGACTTGAAGAGATTTTATACAATCACAAAATAACTTCACTTCTTACTTTCAGTGATTTATCTAAACGTTTGGTAACTTTTAGATGTAGTTTTTTTATATATATATATAAATATATATATCAGTGCCAACAGAAGAATGTGATCAAGAAGAATATTTATTTTCTCTTTCCTGTTTATTTAATGTTTCAAGCTTCCCTAACTGAACACTGCCTTAATATTTAGCGCTGTCACATTTTAAAAGTCTGGAGAACTTTTTAATCCCATCGCTTTAAATATTCGGTGCATTTATTTTAATCCTAAATCTTACCATGAACGTACCACAACATCATATTTTATTAGTTTGGCATTCTACTTTTATATTCTAAATTATTTTATTGTATGTCTTCAAGATAGGGTTGATTATTAAACTAATTCCACTTAAAGAAAACCACAAATAAGCCTTTTCTGCTGCTCACAAGTCAGAACACCTGCGGCGCGCAGCGTCCAGAAATTCTTTTCCAGGGCGCGCCCGCGTTCTCGCCCAGGCGTTTGTTTAAAACGGGCACGCGCATTACCTATAAATGTAGCTATTTGCTTTGATTTGAAAATTTTTGACAGAGGGACGCGCTGCAGTTTACTCTGCCATAGTGATTCGCAACAAAAACAAAGCGCGCAAACTCTTGTAAACGTTTCCTACGGTATCCCTGATTGCAGCTGTAAACCAGGTATGAATGCGCACAGACCTGCAGGGCAAAGTTCAACGCGCTGCTTTGTACCTGGTAAATATTTGAACAGTTTTCCCCTGGTTTGGAAATCCCCACAATTCTCTGACATAGGACGTAATAGAAAATAATAAAATGAAATTGAATAGAATGTAGGAGTGTATAAAAAAAATACCCCTTAGAATTTTAAGTTAAAATGGGTCTGTTAATAATAAAGTTAAAGAAGCTTTGTGATCAATAAACCTTTTCAGTTAAAACTGGCTGGTCCATTCCTGCTTACCAACTCCAAAGCATTCTTCTAAAGTATTTTTCTGCAGAACGATTAGTAGACTGAAAGTAAATAATTCCTTTCAATGAGGTGAGATGGAGCACAGAAATATCTAAACCCTGCATCTGGAGGAGCAGGATTGGCCTCAAAGTATTTTGGGCAACCTGATAGGCTAAGTGTGTTATGTGGGCATTATATTCAACAATTTAAAAACTACAATTTTATTCAAATAAGGGAATGTGGGGTCATTTTTCAAAACCAAGAGCTCGGTCAGAAATGGCCATTTATTCTTCTTTGGGTATATCTGACTGGCTGAATAAATTTGGTGTAGTGATGAGATATGGTTTACAAATTCTGGAATTATACCTGTAAAAAGTATGGTTTTAATGTAAACGAGCAGTGGCTTAACTCCCCTAGTGAAACTATGAGGCTGCAGCAGGAGTGTTATGATTAAGAGCTGTTCAAGGTGCCCCATTTAAAACCATCACCATGTACAAAGTGGAAAATAAGTATTTGCACCCTTTCTATTTTGCATGTTCTCCCACTTAGACATCATGGAGGGGTCTGGAATTGTCATTGTAGGTGCATATCCACTGTGAGAGACATAATCTAAAAAAAATATCAAGAAATCACAATCTATGATTTTTTAAACAAATTATTTGCATGATACAGCTGTTGTGAAGTTGTTTTTTTTTTGGGGATTTTGTCTCTCTCAATTGGCATGCACCTATGATGACAACTTTAGACCACTCCATGATTTCTAAGAGGGAGAACTTCCAAAATAGCTGGGTGTTCAAATACTTATTTTCCTCACTGTAGCTCATTGGCTCACCTTGTTTTCCATTTTTATCTGCAGAGGTTGGAAATATTCCCCACTAGCTCGACTGCAAAATATTTTATCAAATAGAATTTTAAACTTACTAATCAGTGATGCACACTAAAATGAATCTAACAATCTAATCAATTAGGAAGAATGCCTTAAACAGGCTTTTAGTCTGTTTAGCATTACAAGTATTATAAAAGTGATGCAAAATAGATTCTTACACAAATGCAGTCAAGGTGGCCTCCACAGCCTGAAATATTTAACTATATCAGCATGTTGCAGCAAGTCTGCGATCATTTTTTTTGTATTGTCCAGGATGTGCACATGATTAACTAAAATAAAACACTGAGGAGTGAGCAAATAGAATTAATTTGGAGCCATTTTGCATTTATCAGCTATACATACTTAAAATGTTTGTTTTAATTTGCATCCTTTTAAGTGTCTCATGGTAAGTGTGATAAAACATTATCACCTCTCAGTGTCATATCTGTTGTGAAAGAAACCTTTGATCAATGTCCTTCTGAAAAATAGTGATTTGGTTACAGCTTTTCTATTTTACTAAACCAAGAAATCTGAGCCATATTTTGCAGATAAAACTAAATGGTTACAAAAGGAAAGCAGGAAAATTTTCAGAAAATGCAAGTTTGTCACACATGTCTTCTTTTAGGTTTTTGCCCACAGACTTTACATAATTCTGACATAATCAGAAGCATGTGTTTTTACTTCTAGCTGTTATATAAATGCCTCATCCTTATCAACAAAATAAGATCGGCTGCTGCAAAAGCTGCTCAGAATGTTTTCTTTTTGATGCCGTTCCTGATCCCCATCTCTGCCAACATTGAAATAAATCTTGTAGTTTATCGGTCAGATTCCAACACTATAACAGAATTGAGGCTAATAATTAGTAAAAATCAAGAGATTGGTCTTCTTGTTTTCTATTATCAGCTCTTAAACGTATATATACCCTAGTATAAGCCAAAGACATGGGGTTTAGACCTTCGCTGTTTTATAACTTATTTAGCCATCCGTTGCTGGACATTTCAGATTCTAAATGTGTTCCACATTAGCAGTTGCTAATATCTGATTATTTTAAATATGCTGTTTGCCATATTTGACAGTTATTTGTTTTAGAGATTGAAGCTTTATGGATAGAGGGATAAGGGCACTAAAATAAATTGTTTCCAATCCAATCAGGACTATATATCTAGTCAGTTGATTGGAAGAGCCATTCAATTAAAGAGGTATATCATGAGTTAACTGTTACCCTGTGCAGCAAGTTACCCTATGATTTATGAATCCGATTGTTAGATTTAAAAATCTGTTGACACAGTCCAAAAGAGGGATGGCCTGATAGAAGTATACCATCCAAACCAAAATACAATAGCATAAATCACTGTAATTACATGCATCATGAGAAAAAGCTGTGATTACACCCAAGTCTCTGCATCTGTGCTGCAGTAAATCTGACAAAGGTGACACATGACAGTCATTTTGGGATTAGTGACTGCTGAGTCGAGCTGCTGAGACTTGAGTGAAAAGAGGGCAGTAGGTGACTGAACAAAATGTCTTAAACTGAAGGCAGCAAAGTATTAATTGTTAATTTTGATATGAAGAGAGATCCCAAATTCTG